AAAAAAAAAAAAAAAAGTTTTGGATATGGTAAGGAAAAATCATGAACTCTTCACAATGGACAAAAGTTAAAATCTACCTGTAACAGATTATTAGGGCACTAATATTTTCAATTACATATACATGCGCGCGAGCGCGCGCGCACACACACACACACACATATATGTATATATTTCACACACACATATATATATATTTATCTATTAAAAAAACTTAACCATGGGAACAACCTTATGATCAGAACTGCTTTTGCATTTTGTCAATTCCTTTTTCACATTTTTAACATCTCTGAAATTATGATAATCAATAGTTCTAATAAGAGTTGTCAGCTAAGCAGGGTTACAATGTAGTTACATTGCTTATGCAACAATACAGCCTTCAGCAAAATTAGGAGAATGGGTTTCTGTAAATGGGAAGAAAAACCAGGAGATAACAATGGAGCACTTTAAGCCCACAGAAACAAATAGTTGTGTGGAACAGTTGGGTAGGTGATAAATCAGATACTTTTGTGTGTGTGTGTGTGTGTGTGTGTGTTACTGAGGACTGAACCTGGAGGCGCTCCATCACATTCTTGGTCCTTTCTATTTTTAAATTTTGAGACAAGAGTCTCCTCGCTAAGTTGCGTACGCTGGCCTCAAACTTGCTATCCTTGTGCCTTAGCTTCCCAAGAAGCTGAGATTACAGCATGCTCAGCTGTAAGTCAGATATATATATTGCTATCACACCCTTAAATTAACAGTCTGAAGTTATAAGGGCTGATTAATATTAACCTCTGAAATGATGATGGAAATTAGTTCTGAGAGGCTGACATGATATCCTAGAGAATGTTCAGGAGTCAGAAAACCTTGGTTCTCATATTTGATCTTTCTGACCTTAGTCACTCTCTGGGCTTCCGTTTCTTCACTTATAAAACAAGAGGACTGCTGGGCATGGTAGCATAAGCCTATAATTCCAGTTACTTGTGAGGCTGAGGCAGGAAGAATTGAAGTTTGAGGCTGGCCTGGGTAACTTAGTGAAACCTTGTCACAAAATAAAAAATAAAGGGTTGGGGATGTTGCTCATGGATTCAATCTGCAGTACCAAAATTAAAAACAAAAACCCAACAATAGGGGCTGTGGTTGTAACTCAGTGGTAGAGTACTTGCCTCGCATGTGTGAATCATTGGGTTCGAGTCTCAGCACCGCAAATAAATAAGTGAATAAAATAAAGGTCCATCAATAACTAAAAAATAATTTTAAAAAAACTAAAAACAATAGGGCTGGAGTTGTGGCTCAGTGGCAAAGCACTTGCCTCACACGTGTGAGGCACTGGGTTCAATCCTCAGCATCACATAAAAATAAATAAACACACACAAAAAAGAAAAAGAAATAAAAAATTTTAAAAATGAACAAAATAAAGATATCGTGTCCATGTATAAATAAAATAATATTTTTTAAAAAACCCAACAACTACAAGGTGATAACAATAACAAGAAGGTGGACAAGGTTATTCTTCATGATTTCCAAAGTTCTTTTTTTTTTTTTAAACATTTTTACTAGTTATTAGTTAATGTGATCTTACYATAAATAATTATGTCTGTTAATTTTTTCTAACTATATATGCAAAACAAATATGTTAATCAACATCATGGTACATTTACAACTATGTTACCATTAACACGTTTTATTGCATTTAAAATTGTAACTTTATACCTAGAAAAGTGTTTCAGGCACAAAGCTTATCATTCTACATATCTAAGTTCATAATTATAATATATAAAATCTTATTTTTAAATGTTTTAATTTTTTCCATCTCCACACAAAAATTTTTTTCTGCAATACTGTACCTTAATTTTTCCTTCAGAATTTCAAGTTCACTTTTATATAGACCACACTTTTCTTGTAGCCTTTTATTTTCTTTTTCACAGTTAACTAGATTTTTTTCTAATATTTCTTCTTCAGTTTGAACCTAAAACAATAAATTATTGTTAAGTACAACTACTTATATGGTCATGAGTTTAGGTGTTTCAAATTAAAAATGTAGGTAGTATTTCACAAGCAGGAGAGTAGACTAAGTGATTTCATGTTTTAAGTCCCCAGACTTATAGTGCAAAGAAGCAAAGTGAAGTTCCTGGGAGTAATGAAAGACAAGAAGGAGGATGTTACTTACAGATGGGCAATTGCACTGTCACTTAAAAGCATAAATGTTCTGGCCTCATTTGTACAAAGCAAGCAACTCAAGTAGGAAGGCTGCTCCCAAATTACTAAAGGCTAATTTCAGTGCAAATATTTCAGAAGTACTTTTTGAAAGGTTAGTCACAAAATACTCCCACTGAAATAACAGTCTGAAATGTAAAACATAAAATTCAAGCACCCAGGTTGGAGCAAGAGCAGTGAAGGACTAGAATAGATATTCTATTCCCTACTTCCTTTGTTACCCTTTGTTATATTCACCCAAGTATAGGGGTTTTACTCAGCAGAGTTAAAAATTGATAATCTTAAGGAAAGCATAAAAAGATGGGGCTAGGTTGTAGCTCAGGGGTAGAGCACTTGCCTCACATATACCCTGGGTTCAATCCCCAGCACCACATAAAAATAAATGAGCAAATAAAATAAAAATTTTAAAAAAATAAAGTATAAAAAGAAGTTTTCCTCTGTGTCCCTAAAGATATTCGTTAAGATATTCCCCTACAGATGTTATTAAGAATCCATCTAAGATATTCCATTCCCACAAGGACCTTCTCCAAGGCTTTCATAACAGTGATCTAATTAATTCATACTTAAGATTTCAGTATCTAATGAGATCATAATATTTTATACTGCTAAATGGTATTTACAGTTTTATTACAAAAGAATGACAAATGAAATCTTCCTCCATATTAGTACCTGATACGGTCAATAACTTCCCCTTTAAACTTTTTTATTCTTTAGCTGCCATGGCAGTATTTTAATAGACCTTTTTTCTTTACTTCCTTTTATTAATAACTCATTTTTTACTGTGCTTTTTTTTCCTTTTTCTATTTGAAACTTTATTTTTCCCTTGCTAAAACTGTGTTAAGCACTCACCCCAAGTCTCCTCAGGCAATAAAATCATTTTAAGCAACACCTTAACTTATGAGCCCAAAGGCATTTAATTCAATATTTTTAAATTTTCCTCCTTCCTTCCACCCAAAACTTTTTTTTTCCTGTATTTTTATCACTTTTTTCCTCTAAGGAACAAAAATATTTTATTTCATTAAAAATGGACTATATCATCTTTCATGTCCTTCAGACTCCTGTGCTGTTTTTCATTTCCCTATGCTTCCAGAATTCTCAATTTCCCTCTGCCACACACTCCAATAACCCTTGCCTATGAAACCTACTAAGGTGTTCAGGGTATCCCTATTTCTAAAAACTCTTAAATCAGCTTCTTTCTGTATTTCTATCCTCTCCCCTCACCACCCTTTATTGACTCTTTACCTTGCATAATGATATATCTTTAAAACTACCTCTACTACCTCCCTTCCCATTTTCCTGCTTCTAAGATTGTGCCTTCTATATAGTTTTATCATTCTTATCCTTCTTGACAAATTTGCAACATCTGGCACTGAAGATGATCATTAAAAACGCTCTATTGCATTGGATTTTCTTATTAGACTGATGATTTTTCTTTTTTAATCACCTCTTCTCAATATATTTCAAAAGCTCTTCCACCTATTTTTTATCCTCTTATCATATACAAAATTCCTCTGTCAATATCCAAGCCGTCTACCACTTAAATACTGTCAATTCTTTTTTGTAATATTTACTATTTTTTTTTTTTTTTAGTTATAGTTGGACACAATACCTTTATTTTCTTTGCTTTTATGTGGTGCTGAGGATCGAACCCAGGGCCTTGCACGAGCTAGGCAAGTGCTCTACCGCTGAGCCACAACCCCAGCCCAAATACTGTCAATTCTTTTTTTTAATCTTTATTGTTTAGTTGGAGGTGGACACAATACCTTTATTTTATTTGTTTATTTATATGTGGTGCTAAGGATCGAACTCAGCACCTCACATGTGCTAGGCAACCACCCTACTGCTGGGCCACAATCCCAGCCCCTAAATACTGTCGATTCTTAAAATGCAGTTCTAGTCCAGATTTCAATGTCTAAGACAAGACTGGGAGACACAAATATCTACTTCTAGATATTCTATAGACATTCCAAAATAGAATTCATCTTTTCCCCCAAATTATGTATTTTTATTCATGATGCACTCAAACTAGCAACCTAACAATAGTATACTTTTCTCTCTTTCTGTCTGCTCCTAATATATTCAAGTGGTTACTAAATGCCACTGATTAACAGCTCTCATAACTCTCTATACATATCCATTATCTTCAGTAACTCTTGCCTGGTCTCTCAGAGTGTCCTTGACTTGCATCCATCTCTCCAATACAATTCACAGTGATATCAGAATGAGCACCCTGAAACATGTGTTTGATCATTTCCTCGGCTTAAAACTATTTAATGATATGCCATCATCTTTGAAATACTTTAGCAGCTCACGTATCTCCTCCATGAAGCCTCTTCTGAGCCCACCACTTTGTTAAATATCCTTTTATGTCACCAACCATACCAAACAATTTATTATACTTTCTAAAATACTAAACTTATTTGTCTATATACCTGCAAATCTTACTAGACTGTGACCCCTAGGGAGGCATTATGTGTTACATATAACTGAACCTTCCAGAGACTAGTATAGAACCTGGCATGTAAAAGGAACTCAATAATTATTTAATAAGTGAACACTCTATGGTTATCCGTACTCTGAATCTTCTTATTCTTCCTTTCTTAAAGATTTTTTTCTCTGCTCTCTTTAACAGAATCATTGAGTTCTCTTTAATTATTATCCCAAGATGGAAGTATCCCATATTGGTATCTCTTTACTAGACCTGTTCTGAGCTCAATATCTGAATATCCAACTCATGACCTTTCTCCATACAGGATTTATTGGTCTTTTTTTTTTTTTTGTAACAGGGGCACTTGAACTTGAACTCAGGAGCACTTGAACAATGAGCCACATCCCCAGCCCTATTTTGTATTTTATTTAGAGACAGGGTCTCACTGAGTTGCTAAGAGCTTCACTTTTGCTGAGGCTGGCTTTGAACTCACAATCCTCCTTCCTCAGCTTCCTGAAGCACTGTGATTACAGGTAGTGCGCCACCATGCCTGGCTATCATGAAGTCTTATTTAATAAAATATTAAATAAATGTAAAGAAGTCATTATATTCCTATATGGGATCAGTTTAAGCAACCATGCATCAGGGGAAGTGGGCTCCTCTTGGGCTGGTAGGTCAAGGAGACCAGTTGAAGGCTACATAATCTACTTGGCCTTCATTTTCAGGAGGTGAGGAGAATGAATCTCCTGCTTCTACCTCTCTAGCTCCAACCTCAACTCATACCATACTTCTCTGTATTGTGTCCCTACTCTAATCTTCTTGGATTAAAAAAAAAAGTTTATTCTGACAATAAATGTATTTAATAGTATCCTTAATTAATATTTTTTAAAAATCTTTCTTTCATTGGACATAGTCATATATGCCTGAAAACAGTTACTTGGGAGGCTGAGGTAGGAAGATTACAGGTTCAAGATAGCCCAGCAACACCCCCATTTAAAAAAACAAAAGAAAGAAATTATATGAAAAATATATAAATTTTGAAAATTCTTTATTTAAATGATTTTACTATGAATAAAATCATAAAAGTATTCTTCTTTAACCATAAATAAACATATTCTGCTTGTAACTATTTTCATTTTCAGAATATGAGCATAGTACAAAACATTGAATTTGTACAACTGCCTTTTTACCTTTTCCAATTTTTCAGCCACTTTTTCCTTGTATTGTTGGAAAGCTTTACTCAGCTCCTCGGCATTATATAGTGCTTCATTTCTTTGTCGTTCAGCTCTAAAATTTAAAAAGAGATAATGAATACAAGTGAAGAATGCTCTATATTTGAATAGTTAGGTTCCAAAGTAATTTTTTAAAATATCTTTTCCCTTAGTTGTTGATAGATCTTTATTTTATTTATTTATACATGGTGCTGAGAATCGAACCCAGTGCTTCACACATGCAAGGCAAGTGCGCTACCGCTGAGCCACCATCCCAGCCCCAAAGTAATTTTTATTTAATTACAAGTAATAATTAGAAGTTTCTTTAATAGTAAAACAGATTATTAGGCTTAACCTGTAAAATGAAGAATGAAGACTATACTATGATCATTTTCATACCCTAGCAACATAAAAAATAAAGTATAACACAAAACAAACTCTAAAATATACATAAATTCCTGTATATTGGCAATATTTCCTCCTAAGCTAGAAAAGACAGATTAGAGAAGTAGTGTGTTAGATGGTAAATTTTCAATGGTTAGGTATTACAGAACTACTACACTGTTAAAATATTAAAAGTACCAAATAAATTCTGTGACTTGTTCAAATAAATTTCTAAAAGGTATTTTAATAAACAGTAACCTCCACTGTTATAAGATATAAAACTCTAAACAAAAACAACAAAAATAAAATCCAACTATCACCAAGCACTGCTTAAGCCTCACCTTGCTATTTCATCTCTAAGTTAACCATCACCTTTCCTCATATTTCTCAAATTTAACTGAGAATACTGAGCTGGAACTTGATCAATATAACCCCCATACTTAAAACATTTTATATATTTAAACCTACTCACATCACATTCTTTCTAGTGTAAATAAATGCACGACCTTCCTCTCATCCAAGATGACTCAATCTATACTCTGAATCTTTACTCTTCCCACAAAGGAACTTCCCTCTACTCTCTGATTTTCAGTCCTTTCTATATTGGCTTTTTTCCCCCATATATAAACAAATTCATGTGAAAGTACCTCGCTTTCTGCACACTTACTTACCTTTTTCCTTGTTTACTTTGTTCAAGTAAGTCTACCTTCAACTTTATACATTCCTCTTTGGACTCTTGCAAACTGTGTTCCTTTTCAATCACCATTTTCTGGCTCTGCTCTAATTTATCTTCTGCCTCTCTACAAAATAAATTTAATTTAATTTTTTTTTATGTGTGTGTGTATGGTGCTGGGGATCAAACCTAGGGTCTCATGCATGTTTGACAGGCACTCTACTGCTAAGCTGTATCCCCAGTACCATTAAAAAGACTTAAAGTAATTAAAACAGATATGTAAGAATAATGCTACATTAGGAGTTCTATTATTTAAGTCAGAGAGTTAAGAAAAACAAATATGTGAGATAAAGAAAAAGGCATATTCATAACTTGTTAACTAAGAGTTTTATAAGGAACAAAAGAAGGCTTCCATCAAATGAGAAATATATCTGAAGTAAAAGTTCACATTTCATGGTCATATACTAGAAACCATTAGTACATAGCTCAGAAATAAGGATGACCAAGGGGTCGGGGTGGGGARGGAGGGGGGCAGTGCTAGAAAGTGATATCGGCCAAATGTTATTGTTATATTGTGTATGTATGAATATGTAACAAATCTCATCATTATATACAACTATAATACACCAATAAAAAAATGTGGGAGAAAAAGAAAGGATCCAACAATGTTTCTGACAGTGCTACCCAATACAAAATATAAAAGTGAAAAAGTAAGAAGTACAAATAGTGAGGGGAAAAAACAAAATTTCCTTTATTTCCTGATAATATCATTAACTACCTAGAAAACTAAGGAGAATCAGAATGAAAAACTGTTATAACAACATTATGTGAAATAGTCCAATTACAAAATAATTACATTATGCAAAAATCAAGCCAGGTGTGGTTAGCATTTGCCTTTAATCCCAGCTACTCAGGAGACTGAGGTAGGAGGACCACTTGGGCCTAAGAGTTTGGGACCAGCCTTGACAATATACCAAGAGCCTATATCTTTCTTTTTTTTTAATATTTATTTTTTAGTTGTAGTTGGACACAATATCTTTATTTTACTTTTATGTGGTGCTGAGGATTGAACCCAGGGCCTCACACATGCTAGTAGAGCGCTCTACCACTAAGCCACGACCCCAGCCCCAAGAGCCTACTTCTTTTAAAAAAAAAAAAAAAAAAAATCAGTAACCTTCCCAAACACTAACAATGAATGAAATGGGAACAAATTCACAATAAACAACATTATAGGAGCTGGGGTTGTGGCTCAGYGATAGGGTGCTGGCATAGCGCATGTGAGGCCCTGGGTTTGATCCTCAGCACCACATAAAAATAATAAATAAAGGTATTGTGTCCAATTACAACTAAAAAATGAATATTTAAAAAATTATAAAATAGCAAAGAATTATTTTAAATGTGTTGAAGTTAAATTTTATATGTACAAAAATATAAATTATATATATCTACAAAATATATAAAATTTTATATATCAAAGAAAATTACAAAACTATGAACTTGAAAAACAACTTTAGTATAAATCAGAATCATCTGCAGCACTTGTTAAAACACAAGATTTGGTGGCCCTACCTCCCATGATTTGTGGTTCAGTAAATCTGAGATAGGACCTGAGAATTTATTTCTAACATGTTTCCACATGACGCTAATACTGCTAATCCCAGAACTACACTCTGAGAATCAAATAGCATAATATGCTAGTAAGTATACATGTATTTTCCATTTATCCAAGGTAGAAAAACAAATGGTAAAGTACCTGATCTCTTATATTTTATTTTTTGCACTTTATTGAAGGACTGAGTATGTATTACTATACAATGAGAAATGAACTAATTCATATTTAATAAAAGCATGTAAATAAACTCCTCAATTTACATTTACTATTTTTTAGTCCCTATATACTACAAGTAATCTGCAGTGAAGAGGAGTTATGATTGACTGCAATTAGGTTCAGTAAGTTCTAAGATACCTGCACACTACCTGGGACATTTATTATAAATTTATTGGAGGTGGGGGGAGGGACAAGATTTAATAGGATATAACAAAGAAGTGGGAAATGAAAAATCTTAAAGTTATAAAAAGGTATACTTACCTCAAAACTTTATCTTGAGCTTTAACTTCTGCTTCTAAATTTATAATCTGTTCCTCTAATATTGGGATATTGGCTGCCTGTTGCTGAGCAGACTCAAGCACTGAAATCTAAGACATAAAACAACTTTTAGAGCACTTTCTCTTATAAAATAAATTAATCTATTTGGTCCTTAGTCTTTTCCCTGTCAGATGAGGGGGTTCAACAGAACTCCTCAGTCACTGGTCAAATGTAATGCTATCTATCCCTTTAATCAACATTTAGATGGGCATGTCATTATTACAAAACAGTCTCAGCATGTGAGGTCTTGCCATTACCCTTAATATCCTCAATATCCCAATATAACTGATTAGTATCTGTAGGCAAGTGGGGAGAAGACTATCTACTGACATCATCTAGAAACAATTTCATATAAATTAGAATATTAAATATAAAACATCAAACCATAAAAAATTGAGTTTCTATGATTTGAAAATTAATTTTAGGGCTGGGATTGTGGTTCAGCAGTAGAGCACTCGCCTAGCATGTGCAAGGCTCCGGGTTCAATCCTCAGCACCACATAAAAATAAATAAAATAAAGGTATCGTGTCTAACTACAACTAAAAAACAAAYATTTTAAAAATTAATTTTAAGTAGGCTCAGTAATCATTGTAATCTCAGTGATTCAAGGGGCTGAGGCCAGCCTGGGCAATTTAGTAAGACCACATCTCAAAATAAAAAATAAAAGGCCATGGTATATAGCTCCGTGATAAAGTGTCCCTGGGTTCAGTCTCCAGTACCAAAAGAAAAAAAATAAAAATATAAAACAGATATGGATGCAAATCAGTAATAGAGAGGTTCTGAGTTCAATCCCTAATACCGAAAAACACACACACACAGAGAGCAAACAAACCAAAAAACATGTGAACTGCCCTGGAAAAGACAACTTCCCTAAACTATTTTTTTGGCCCTATATACTACATGTAATCTAAAACACAATTTAAAAAATGTTGAGATTACCTATCTTACCACTTAAAACTGTTGTGTTTAAGTCCTTTTAAAGAAAAGGTTAAAGTCTTATTAGTTCAGTGGCTAATAAACTCTTTTTTTATTTAGCTGGACAAGGTAATACACACCTTCAACTCTAGGGGATGAGTGAGGCAGGAGGGTTTACAAGTTCGAGGTCAGCCTTAGCAACTTAGCAAGACTGTCTCAAGATAAAAAATAAAAAGGGCTGGGGATATAGTTCAGTGACAAGAGTATCCCTTGGTTAAATGCCCAGTTTGTAAAACAAACAAAACCATCTATATCTCTTTTGAGTTTAAGTAAGCATTTACAAGTTTAAAGAGATTATAGTTGAAGAAAATTAAAAACATTTTTAATAAACAGAAACGGTGAACAGACAAATCACAGAAATCTAAATGGGCAAACAAATATACTGAAAAGATAAGCCTCATAAGAAATCAGGAAAAATGGTCTTTTTACCTCAAGGGGACAAAAACAAAAAGTAGAATGCAGGAAATTACTAAAAAACACTTGTTCCCTATAATTTGTTCATTCTGCCTCTGGGAATCTATCCCAGAAACAATCCCAAATACCAATGAAGTTTTATGCTCATTACTACACTATTTTCTCTCTAAGCTGGGAAAAGAACAACATTTTGTCATTTAAAAAAAAATTTTTTTAGACACTGATGGGCCTTTATTTTGTTCATTTATTTATATTTGGTGCTGAAAATCGAGCCCAGTGTCCCCCACACATGCTAGGCAAGCGCTCTACCACTGAACTACAGCCCCAGCTCCTTGTCATTTGTCTTTATATTTAAGTAGAAAAGAAAAATACTTTCCCGTAACTCCACTACTTAAAACTATATAGACTACAAAAAGGATTAGACAGATAGACCATAAAAATAAATAATGAAAGCCCCATTCTGACCTTTCAGTTCCTCTTTAAGTTACCAATAGACTTTCTATCCTTACATATTTCACATGTATAACTATATACATACAAACATATATTTATGCACTTTTTATAAAAAGCAAAACTGGGAACTTTGTACATGTTTTGCTCTGTAATGTTTTTCTATCATTAAATATATGAAGTAATAGATTTTTTTTTTGAAGAGTTGGGTATGAAACCCAACAATCTCATATATTCAAGRCCAGTGTTCTAACATTAAGCTACTTCCACAGCCTGGGTATGTTTTTGAGTGCTGATATTACCCTAAGTGTCTTTACATATGTTATATCATTTGAACCTCCTAATGTTCTGTGTAATTCAAATAACCTTGCCTCTTAGTACTGATATATTTATCTCATTATTTTTAAAAAGATTTTTGTTGCAACCCATTTTATAGGCATAACGTAATTTACCATATTTCTAATTTTAGACATCTTGAGTTCTTCGATTTTTTATTAATTATTATTAATTTTTGGAAGCAGGGATTGAAACCAGAGGCACTTAGCCACTGAGCCACATCCCCTTTTCATTTTGATACAGAGTCTTGCTAAGTTGTTTAGGGTCTCACTAAATTGCTAAGGCTAGCTTTGAACTTATGATCCTACTGCCTCAGCCTCCCAAGACACTGGGATTACAAGCATACACCACTGAGCTCACTCAACTTCTATTTTTTTTTATAACATCAACCATACAATAAAAATAGGAACCACTCAAATAGGAAAATCATCAACTAAGTTATGGAATAATCACAATAAAACATAATGCTACCATAAAAATGATCAGTGAAAAAGCTAAGTAAATCCATCAGAAGATGTTCAGATTGGGCTAGGGGAATAGCTCAGTGGTAAAGAGCCTGAATTCTTACTAACATACATGAGGCCCTGGATTCATTCCCAGTACCATCAAAAAAAAAGAAGAAGAAAATAAAACTCTGACTATACATGAAATAAAAACCATAGGAAAACCCAAAACTATTCAATAAGGGTCTGGATTCAACTATATAATCAACCAGTAGGGTAATTTCTAGATGGTAGAAACTGTTGAGTGATCTTTCTTCTTCCTTTCTTCTACTCCTTAAGGTTTCAACAATGACAGTGTATTCTCTTTAAAAAGGAAGATAAATAAACTATATTTGTCTTGTATATAAGAAATACAACACTCTGGTAATTCTAAGAGTTGATTTCTCTATATGTAAAAACTATAAATTTCCCTAAATCATTTTAAGATATAATTTTCTTTTTTATTTGCAGAGGGATTATTGGGGTTGAACGCAGGAGTCCTCTACAAATGAGCTACATCCCCAGCACTCTTTATTTTGCTCAATAAGTTGCTTATGGCTTCACTTAAGTTACTGAGGATGGTCTTAAATTTGTGAACCTCCTGACTCAGCTTTCCAAGATGCTGGGATTACAGGCATGCACCAGCTAAAATCAATTTCTTAACATATCAGTAGTATCATAATAAAAATTGCTGCATATTAAGACAATAAAAAGAATATTTTTCAAACATTTTTCAAATAGATGAAACTGATTTCATCTATTTCCTATTGGTATATTGATCATTTCAAATACATACTTTTGCTTTTGACTGTGTTAATTCAAAGTGGATTGATTCTATTTTAGTCATTAAAGAATGATTCTGTGTGACCAAACAAGCATTTTGTTGCCTAAGTTTATTAAGTTTCTCTCGAAGACTTTTAATTTCTTGATCCACAGGAGATGAAAAAGACATCTGAAAAATAAAAAAGAACAATCTATTTTTAATTAGTTAAGGACTACATAAAATGAAAAATGATACATAATTATCAAAATTAAAAGCTAAAAAAAAGAGATAAAATATCTATCGACTACTAATGAAAATACTTGAGACATCATTACTCTCTCTTCTACTGCTTGTAGAAGCATGCATTAAATATGACTTGGAAAACAGTGGATATTTTGTTAAACTGACTGGTATTATTCAATAAAATTGAATATTTTAAAATCAACAATCTCTCTCCTGAGTATAAATCTGATAGAAACATTTGCACTTTTGCACCTGAGGATATACAAATACAAATATTCAGAACTACATTGTCCATAAGAGTAAATGAAAAGAACCCAAATGTTGACCAACAAAGAGAAATAACAGATTAAAATATTTTTGTTCTGTGTATTTATTTTAAAAAATTAGAGTTGCAGATGGATAGCATGCCTTTATTTTATTTGTTGATTTTTTTTTTTTTTTGGTACCAAGGATTGAACTCAGGAGCACTCCATCACTGAGCCATATCCCCAGCCCCATTTTGTATTTTTATTTAGAGACAGGGTCTCACTTAGTTGCTTAGTGCCTTGCTAAATTGCTTTGAAATCATGATCTCAGCCTCCACAGCTGCTGGGAATACAGGTGTGAGCCACTGCACCCAGCCTTATTTGTTGATTTTTATGTGGTGCTAAGGCTTGAATCCAGTGCCTCACATGAGCCAGGCAAGCGCTCTGCCACTGAGCTACAGCCCCAGCCCTTATTATGTGTATTTTTAATATATTCTTCTTAACAAACATTTTAATTTTCATGGGGGTTGTGATTTTTCAAAACAATATTTGTATTATTTTTTTTTTTGGCATGGAGACACTGGGGATTGAACCCAGAAATGCTTTACCACTGAGCTACATCCCCAGCCCTTTTTATTTTGTATTTTGATACACAGTCTCACTACATTGCTTAAGGCTTGACAAATTACTAAGACTGGCCTTGAACATGCAATCTTCCTGCCTCAGTCTCCTAAACCATTGGACTTATAGATGTTGCCACCTCACCTCGTTAGTTTTGGTTTCTTTCTTTTTTCTTTTTTTTTTTTTTTGAGTAATATATTTAGGCAATTCAAAATCAAAACTACAATAGAAAAAGCACACACAGAAGGGGCTGGGGTTATAGCTCAGTGGTAAAGTGCTTGCCTCTCACAGGTAAGGCACTGGGTTTGAACCTCAGCACCACATAAAAATAAATGTCCATCTTTTAAAAAATCTTTWAAAAAAAAAACATACACAGAAGAGTCCAGCCAATCATTAGTAGATAGGTAACCATTTTCATAATTTTCTTATTTAGTACTCTAGTGATTCCACATGCATACACAAGTAATACAAATTACCCACCTACCTTGACTCTTTATGCAAAAATCAGGATATTTTATACTCTATTCTGCACCTTGCATTTTTTACTTGAACAATATATACTGGCAATCTCTCCATAATCAATACTTAGAGAAACTCAAAAAATTTTCCCTTAAATAAAAGTTTCCATTGCATGAATGAACCATAATTTATTCAATCACCTATCACTGGGCACTGAAGTTATTTCTAATGACTCATTTTGACTCATTTTGTACTCACACAGATGTACCTATAGGATAGTTTTGCAGGTAAATATTGCCAAATGCCTCTCCATAAGGATTATATCATTTTGCATTCACACCAGCAATGTATATCCTCCAAATATCAAAACAAAAGACAGTGTCAAACATCTGGATGTTTAACAATATGATTAGTAACAACTAGTACTTAAATTCAGTTTCATTTTGAATTTCTTTTACTGTCAGTGAAATGTAACACTCATCCATTTGCCTGAAGATTTCCTTTTCCATTCATGTTTTTTGACCACTGGGTTACTATCTTTTTCTTTTCACTTTCAAGGAGCTTTATGTATACTATAGATTAACCCATTCTCTTTGATAGGTATTACTAAAAGCTTTTTCTTTCCAACTTGTGACCTATCTTTTTATTTTACTTATGGTAAAACATAATGATTATACACATATAATATATACAATAAGAATTATCAGTAATTCGAATCAGGATAGGGATCAAAGGTCCCAAAATTACATACTCTTTGTAGACATGGAATTGAATTTATTTTCTGAAATGTAGGCTCAAATAGTTTCATTATGCAGCATCCTTACAGAAAAACCTCTCAAAGAATGGTTTTTTAAAACAGAAAGAGCAAATTTTTATCAAAACATATGATATGTATATGCAACCTTGTCTATGTACATGAATTTTGGGAATGGGAACATGATAAACAGGAAGAAGAGAGGGCAGGTCAGTGAAAGGGTTGAGTAAGAAAAAGAGATACAATAAAAGAGAGGAACAGATTTCCAGATGAGGAAAAGATTTCTAACATCATTGACAAACTTAGGCATAATGAAAGGAGAATAGTGCCATAGCACCACATAGCACCTGATTCAAGCTAAATTGTGAATATATGTTAGTTAATTAATAATTGATTATCTGTTATCTATTGGGCATAATACTAAAATCAAGGGAATTATAATTTACTTGAGAAAAGAAGACATTTAACTACAAAAAGCAACAAATATAGAAGTTTAAAAATAAAGTAATACACCAAGATAACTATGTTCTTGTTAGAACATTAAAAAAAATGCATTTTTAATTCTTGAACCTTATAGTAAAAAGAGTACAGAAAATTGAACAGGCATTTAAAGAAAACACATTTTAAGTATATAAGTCTAAAACTAAAACTACTTAAGTAGACAATCTAAAAACAATAACCTTATCTCTTGCACTTTTTTGAAATTCAGTACTACTACCAGACATTTTACAAAGTTTTTTATAAGATGAGTAGTTCGAAAGTCCTGGGTGGCTAGGCTGAACAAGATCTTCCAAAATGAGCCTTTCGGTCCTTGAGGGATTAGAGGTATAATCAGAATTTTCACTTGGACTAACACTAGAGACAAAAAGAGAAGTATATTTTAGTTCTTAGATAGTTTAAGTAGTCACTACAAATTCCTATAGAATAAATAAGGAAAGAAAAAGAAATACTCAGAAATGATGCTTAAAATTGTATCTATAGTTATAAATGTAAGGCAACATTCCAACTAAATTTTAAATAAACCATAATTAGGCCAAGCGGCACACCCTATAATCCCAGCCACTTGGGAGGCTGAGGCAGAAGGATTATGAATTTGAGGCCAGTCTTAGCAACTTAACAAGCCCTCAGAAACTTGGTAAGACTCTGTCTAAACTAAAAAATTTTATTCCCAAATAAACAAATAAATAAACCATAATTAACATTAAACTAGCAATCTATGTACTTMCTGAGTATCTATGCTAAGGTTACTTAGGATTCAAAAAAATGTCACAGCAATGAAAGACTAATATAAAGCTCCAAATATACACCGTATACTTTTTTTTTTTTTTTTTTTTTTTTTTGGCAGTCCTAGGGATTGACAAAGGCACTCCACTACCGAGCTACCTTCCTGGCATTTTTCATTTTTTTTGAGATAGTGTCTCACTAAAATCACCCAAGCTGATCTCAAACTTGCAATCCTCCTGCCTTGGTCATGCACTACTGTGCCTCACCACTCACTATGCCTCACTATTTCATGCTTTTATTCCTAACCCATTACTTTTTTTTTAATATGTAAATTATTCTCTAATATCCTTTTTTTCTAAACTGTGAGTTATATTAAAATGCATAGTAGGGGCTGGGGATGTGGCTCAAGTGGTAGCACGCTCACCTAGCATGCATACTTGAGGCCCTGGGTTTGATTCTCAGCACCACATAGAAACAAAATAAAGATACTGTATTCACCTAAAATCTAAAAAATAAATACCTAAAAAAAAATGCACAGGAAATTATATCTTATTCCAGAGGCATATTAAAAACACAATATATAGGGCTGGGGCTATAGCTCAGTGGTAGAGCACTTGCCTAGTACGCATGAGGCACTGGGTTTGATCCTTGGCACTACATAAAAATAAATAAATAAAAATAAAGATACTGTGTCCATCTACAACTAAAAAAATATTTTAAAAAAATAATAATAAGGGGTTGGGATTGTGGCTCAGTGGTAGAGAGCTTGCCTGGCCCTGGGTTCAATCCTCAGCACCACATAAAAATAAATGAATGGAAGAAAGGTATTGTGTCCAATTACAACTAAAAAAATAAATATTTAAAAAAATAATAATTACATAAATATAATAAAGATATACAAAAAACAGTTTTATCATTTTAAGAAATCTTTAAAAAACCCACAATACGTAATAATGGAACCTAAACATTTTACATTCATAAATTAAAGTCACACTCTGAATTCTATATGTGATTTTACTTACCTGGATAATTCTTCTCCTAAATTCTGCAAGCTCCATTCTGTTATCTTCAGTTCATGTCTTAAGGAAGCAACATTTGCAAGCAAACTTTCTTCTTCATTGTCTTTATTACAGTAGTCTGATGAACTAGATGCCATTTCTTAAAAAAAAAAAAATTCTTGTACCTTGCCTGAAAGATTCCGTGGTGTCAGTCAAAATATTCTCACAGTAATGGAATTTAATTCATTATTTTTCTATTTCGAATGTTGTGAAATCTTTCATGGTGATTTAAAACAAAACAAACACAATAATAATAAATTTCTCTGTAGTGTAAAGTCATGAAAGATAATTCAATATAATCTGAGTGGACTGATTTTTTAATTTAAGCAGGGTCTAGTCATTACAGTCCCTCTTTTCTAAGCACATTAAGTCTTCTTTTTTTAAAAAATATGTATTTTTATTTGTTGATGGACCTTTATTTTACTTATTTGTTTACATGTGGTGCTGAGAATCAAACCCAGTACCTCACACACATGCTAAGCAAGCGCTCCACCACTGAGCTACAATCCCAGCCCTTAAGTCTTCTTAATAAGTGCGTAAAATAAGTATTTTTGTTCCACATTAAGGATGAAGAAGATATAATTCAGAGACAAATTAATTTGCTCAAGGTCACATAAAGAATGAAACCAAGATTTTAATCCAGGTCAGCAAGATCCAAAGACCTTTTAATTATGTTCAACTATTCTTTTCTACTTCTTTTTTTTTTTTTTTTTTTTTTACTTGTAGATGGACGCAATATCTTTATTTTTATTTATTTATTTATTTTTATGTGGTGCTGAGGATCGAACCCAGGGCCTCAAGTACTCGAGGCAAACGCTCTACCACTGAGCTACAACCACAGCCCTTTTACTTCTCTATTATGTCAATTTCAATATGAGGTATTTCAATTTTCATAATCACTGATAAAATGTAATCAGTACAGTCTTTCATATTGTCCTAGAAGGCAATTAATTACCAGATAAAAGTTATCTCCTCCTCCCATTCACAATGGTTATAAAATTTAAACACATACACACAGTCGAATTGACAAGTCATAAACCACAGAGATCAAAATTACATCTGGAAGTTCAATTCATACAACTATTAAAGAAAAAGAAACTTATTTCTTCAACTGTTGAGTATTTCTAGGGTTGTGAAATGCTACTAAATTCCATAACACATAAAAAAATCATCATAAGACATTTTTATTATTGGAATTATTAAAATGAAAAACTAAAGCTTTAGAATCCCTACTACTCCTATACATTTTACTGTATAATCTTACAATTCATTCCTGTTTCAGATTCCACTTACCTTCTTCATTGTAGCACCTCTTTTATCACCCTTTTAAAAATTCTGACCACATCCTGAGGTCCAAAAGGCTAGAAGTCCTATGTATTATATTTAAGACTGTACATTACAGTCTTGAATGTACATATAAATGTACATATAAATGATGAATACTAAACTGCCTTTCCTTCCCCTCATCTCTCTAAAGTAATATGCTACATTTAATTCCACACTCAAAATCTCTCAAAGATAGGGTGAAAGGTTAAGGAGGGAAAAAAAACTCTCACCTTATTGGAAAAAGTTGGGGCAGGAAATTAAATATTCTCTGTAATCTTAGCAGACAAACTGTTTTTATCCTCTTTCCTCTTTGTTTCCACAAATGTTTCTGTTCAAACTTCCCCAACAAAATTCAATGATCAGGTTTCCATCCTGCTTTATCTAGTCAGCATCTCTAGACCCCTGTAAAATTGTGGAGAAAAAGGTAAAGGAAATTTGGACAAGTTCAAAAAAATGCTGTTTGATGCTGTATTTTTTATTTAAGCCAAGTTTTATGATCAACATCTGTGTCTTTCCATATAAGAATTTTCTAACTTTTTTGAGGTGGCAATGATTACATTTGATGTTCAAACATTTTCATTTTTCTAGAGGATCATTTACTGTCAAATAAAGATTGTTCCTCACTTCAACTTAACAGTAGTTACAAAAAAAAAAAAAAAAAACCCTATCTTCATTGCCTGCAAGGTATGTGGGAGGGTACATCATCCTACCTAGAAGCCCAGACGACGTCATCTTTTAGCCCTAATTAACTGTTTTATAGGTACACACGCATGCCCACCACAGGAAGGGGTATATTTTATACCCCGACCAGAAGAAAGGGAAGGGAGCAGGTAGTCGTCAATTCCAGGAAGGACCAAACTTCTGGGTCCCCGACACTAGCGGGAGCCTCGTCTAGAGCGCCTACTTTATACCCTGTGATTTTGGTAAGATCGGGCTGCAGTCGGAAAAGATTTCCCATTGTGGAAAGAGGTCATCGTTTTGTTATAGTATTATCCTGTCAGGAAAACGCTCAACTTAACATCATTGATCCTACGTCCACTTGGAAGAAGAGGAGCAAAACTTGACAGCCTTGGATCTCTTGTCAAATCAAACACAACCCTGCACAGCCGCATGCTCAGCAAGAGCGAGGACCCGGGCCCGGCGCGTCCAAGGTGCCCGGAGGGAAACAAAACTGGTTTCCACCCGCCTAGGGGCATTCGCTCACCACCCAAGTCGCAGCTGGGGACAGGCCCACCGCAGGGCCGCGCGACACGTCTGCGCTCGGAGGCCTCGGACCCTCTCCCGGGCCACGGCGTGGAAGCCTCAAACACACCAAAAGGAGAACGAAGGAACCCAAGCGAGTTCGAAGAGCCGCGGGAACCGTTGGGACGCGCCTCCTCGGCCGCAGCCCCACCCCCCGCGCTGACTCCGCGAGCGTAACGTCGCGGTCGCAGGGCCTGCCGGGGATCGTGGTCAGCTAGAGCCGTAGAGCCCGCTCCCCGTGCTTTTCCGGGACTACATTTCCCACAATTATAGCCAAGACGCCCATTGGTGTGGGGAAGCCAGGAGAACCTGCGGCGGTTTGAGTATGAGGCTGACGGCCCTGACGCTGGGCGTGAGGAGGCTGGGACTGAGGGGGGGGGGTGAGGAAAAGGAGTGCTAGCCCCGCCCTCAGTCCCTACCCTTTGGAGGACAGCACTTTTCACACAGCGCGTTTGCCGCCGCCGCGGCCGCCACCTGAACTTTCTTCATATTCTGAGTCTCCCTGCCACGAGGAGTCCAGGGAAGAAAAGCGGAGCCGAGGCGCCAGTTATCTACACCTCCCACGCCACTTTCAGCCCAAGCTCGCCCCAGCAGGGATGGGAGACAAGATCTGGCTGCCCTTCCCTGTGCTCCTCCTGGCCACTCTGACCCCAGAGCTGCTGCCGGGGGCGGCCGGCTTCACTCCCTCTTTGGACAGCGACTTCACCTTCACCCTTCCGGCCGGGCAGAAAGAGTGTTTCTACCAGCCCATGCCCCTRAAGGCCTCGCTGGAGATCGAGTATCAAGTAAGTGCAGCGAGTGAGCCAACCTCCTTCCCTTAGCCCTCCTGTACCGCGTTGTCGCCTCTCCCCCTTAGGAACTTGCCGACCGCCAGGGAGGTGAAGGGGCGAGGGCCACCGGGGAAGCCCGCCCGCGCCGCGCAGGCGCACGAGACGAAGCTCCCGCCAGTGTCGGGGACCCAGAAGTTTGGTCCTTCCTAGAATTGACGACTACCCGCCCCCTTCCCTTTCCTCTGGTCGGAAAGAGGCCAGAAGTGATGATGTTGGTGGCTTTACTTTTTGTTTCTTAACTCTCCAATCGTTTTTCTAGCTAGTGTACGCTCCAGTACTAAGAATTTCACACAGTACAGGACAGATACACGTTCTTCTTTATCATTGGACAGAATGATGACACTTGTTTGAGTCACCCCCACCACTGTCACCCAATTCGGAAATTATTAATGTTCCCTGTTCTTGTTGCATTTAAGGATTTTGGAATTATGAATATGTGATTATCACTGAGTGCGATTTTGAAATATCTTGAAAGGAGCTATTTATTGCCTTGTTTAGTGGTGGATTTCCATCCCAGTTATATATCCATTATTTTCAAATAAAATAAGATCAAATCGTTTATTAAAACTTTATAACCTTTCATTGAACATTGTCAGCATTTTCCGCATGTCTGTTTTCTTTTTAGTACCTGCTTAATACTCCATTGCAAGGAATTTCCTTAATTTATGTGTAACTCTAGTAAAGGGTAAATTTCAATTTATTGTTTTTTGGGGGATGGGGCTACTGGGGATTGAACCCAGGGGCTTTACCACTGAGCTACATCCCCAGCCCTTTTTATTTTTTATTTTGAGATAGGGTCCTGTTACTAAGGTTACTAAGTTACTAAGGACCTAGCTAAATTGCTGAGGCTAGCCTGGAATTTGGGCTTCTCTCTTGCCTCAGCCTCCTAAATCACAGASATTACAGGTTTCAGCCACCATGCCTGGCCCCACGAGCTAATTTTGATGTTTACTGGTAGCACTGTTTCATCTTTAACAGATAACATAATCAAATTTAATTTTTAAGTTGATATAGAGTATTTCTTTTTAAATACTGATAATCTTACACATAGAGAAAAATAAAAAGTGATATAGAATTTTTATTTGAAGGAACTTTAGGATTAGATTATCAGTGTCTAAGATAAGCATAGAGAGTGAAGTATCTAAAGTCATATAGTTTAGCTATCAAAATAAGACTAGAACTTAACATTTCTTGATTTCCAGTAATGTTCAGAAGTTAAACCATAAGGGAGTGGGAGTGTCATTCAGGGGTAGATTGCTTGGTTGCCCTGGGCAAGGGTATGTGTTTAATTCCCAGCACCTGGAGAAAAAACAAATTGTTTGCTGAACAGTTAATATATGCCAAGAATTCTGTAGGGTGTTGGGGGGGTAGTAAAAGTAAAAAAGAGTCCTTATTCTCAAGGAGCTTAATTAAAGGTTACTGGTTTATAAGTTCAATAGAATATTGTCCAGTGCTATTAGCAGAGGGCCACTTCTTTGAGTTTCAAAAAAGGATTCCTGGAGAAAAGAAATCAAAATCTGGAAACTTGCTTAAATAAGACATGAATGCAAGAAATGAGGGTATTTCCATAAAGTGAACAAAATGAATAGACACATATTCCTGAAAATGCATAGTAGGAGAATTTAGAGGTAGGCTTATATTAGGTAGAGCTTGTATTACATTACAAGTTTTAAGTTTTAAAACAAGTTTAAGTTTTAAAATTTATTAGATTTTAAGACTAAAAGTTTAGGGTAGGAAAAGCAGAAAAGGAAATTGGAGAGGCCAAGAGGCTGGATCATGGGTCATGAACCATAGCCTTGCGTGCCATGCAGAGTAACAGTCCCATGTTTTGTATGCCATTTAAGATTGAAAGGCTGGAGCTGTAATTCAGTGGCAGAATACTTGCCTAGCATGTGTGAGGCACTGGATTCGCCTTAACACTGCATTAAAAAAATAATAAAATAAAGGCTTTCTATTCATATAACTACAAAAAAATTTTTAAAGAAGATTGAAGCAGATTGCTAGATGCATTGTGAAAGATGGGTTTAAGGGAAGCAAAATTAGAGGAAAGGAAACCAACTTGGAGATTAGTGAAAGAGTCTATAAAGAAAACAATTTGTATTGATCAAAAATTCCTCAGTATTGGGCTGGGGTTGTAGCCCAATGGAAATGGAAGACCACTTGCCTAGCATGTGTGAGGCCCTGGGTTTGATCTTCAGCACTGCATATAAATAAATGAATAAAGTAAAGGTCCATCAACATCTAAAAATATGTTTTTTAAAAATACCTCAGTATTTATCCACATATTAGGGAAGATTCTATTTTAACTACTAACTTCTTGGGTTCAGAGCTTGGATTCAGAATCTTGACTCTTAATTGCAACTAGTGAGGTCTTAAACAAGTTACTTCTGACTTGCAAAATGGAGATAATATTTACTACCTCMTGGAGTCTGTTTTGGGGGAGTAGAAGAGTTAATAAATGCTCAGAGACATCCCTGACACATGGTAAATGTTCAGTGAATGTTAGTTTTACATTTATACCTCTGGAGTTACATAGCTTGCTTTAGCTTTATACTTGACATCTTTAGTCACTCTTAAAGTGACTTGTTTATTCCTCCAAAGCATTCTTCCAAAAAATTTTTTTTTGGGGGGGGGGTGGTATGTACCAGGAATTAAACCCAAGGTTGCTTAACCACTGAGCCACATCCTCCTACTACTTTTAATTTTGAGACTAGGTCTCACTATGTTGCATAGGGCTTTGCTAAATTGGTGAGGCTGGCTGGCCTCAAACTTTTAATCCTTCTCTCTCAGCCTCCCGAGCTGCGGGGATTACAGGTGTGAGTCACTGTGCCTAGCCCTAAATAATTTGTTTATGTCATTTGGTATCTGTAATATTTTCTTTAATATGTTTTTAGTTGTAAACACAATACCTTTATTTTATTTGTATGTGGTGCCAGAGATCGAACCCAGTGCCTCACGCATGCTAGGCAAGCACTCTACCACTGACCCACAACCTCGGCCCCAATATCTATAATCTTAATGTTAAAAGGATTTGTAGGGTGAGGATTATCTTTACTCTTTGTTTACATTTTCCAACTCCACAATTAATTTCTCAATAGCTACAAGATACTGATTTTTATCTTACAGTTGGGAGATTTCCTCTCTCCCCCTAAAGATTCCCTGAAGTCAACTGACAGTAGGTAGATCATAGGTAGATCAATAGGAGAAGTAGGCATTTGATCATAGTTTAACATAACACAGGAGCCTTCAAATTGAAAACCAAAAATCCAGAGAGTATTATTCACATTTATGCTTAGGTTTGATAAAGCCATATAGAAATATGACTGGACAAATAGGTATGATCTAATAATAATAGATTGGGGGGGGGTAGGTAGTGGGACCAGTAAGGCCTGTCTGATTCTTCCTGGATTTTATGTAACATTTCTTCCTTCTGGTTATGGGGTACGACTCTTTCTAGAATGGGAGTTTACAGTCAAGTAAAATGGATAAGTGAATTTCTTTATGTTCAACTCTTACACAGAAACATAAGAGGAAATTAGAAAAATATTTTAGGTCTTACAGCTAATTATGGGATAAAGGGGTTCTAGTTTTCATGCCCCACCGTAGGTAGAAAGAATTCTAGTTTGTATGGCTTACTTCAGGGAAAAATGGGTAAAAAACAGAAGGACAAAAGAAGGTTAGAGACAAACTTTGCTTCTCAGGTCTTTACTTACTTTGGGGTATCATTTTCTGAACYTTAAATTAGTATTTATTAATATTAAATAGACATTCCAATGTTGTCYTTGGTACTACAGGTTACATACTGGTGTGTTTTTGTGGGGGTTTTTTGGTGTTGGAGATTGAACCCCAGGCTTTATACTACTGAACTACAGCCCCAACCCTTAATTTTATTATTTTTTTTAAATTTTGAGACAGGGTCTCTTTAAATTGCTGAGAGTCTTGCTCAATTGCTGAGGCCGGACTCAAGGCAGTCCCCCGACTCAGTCTCTGGAGTTGCTGGGATTACAGACAAGCACCACTTCGGCCAGCATTTATTGAAAATTTTTAATCATTTTTTACTTTTAGGTTTTAGGAGATTCATTTCTGGGTAATTGACCAGCCCCACTTTATATTACTATAAATTCTTGAAATCTTTTAATTTCCATACTTACATCTTATGAATAAAATGGATCACTCATTTAAAAATTATATCATTGTTAAGTGCTTAATGTGTGTCAACACTATCCTATGTGCTAGGTAAACAACTTAGTAAAAATATAATCCATGGGGCTAGGATTGTAGTTCTTCAGTCAAGTATGGGGATAGACATTACTCAAATAAATTTGAAAATGTAACTCTAATAAGTGCTATGAAGGCAAGCACATGAGTCTTGAGTGTCTTATAGGAGGAATTTTTTTTTTTTAATTTCATCTGGAAATTGAGGGAAGACATCCCAGAAGTGGAGTTGAGAACTGTGGAATAAGCAGGTTTCTAGGCATAAGCAGGTGAGTGGAACAAGACAATGAGTGAGAAGAAAAGTTTGTGCCTAGGAGCTTCAGAAGAAGACAGTCTATCTTGGAAGAAATGAGGGCAGTACAATGAGGAAAAAGTGGTACAAGGCTATTCTTGAGAAATCAGTAGTGACCAGACCATGTAAGGCCTTTTAAGGATACGGATTAAGGATACCCTTGTTAGATATGGATCTTTTACAGAGTATTAGGGAGCAATTGAAGAATTTTAAACAGGTTAACCTGATTAGATTTGTGTTTTGAAAAAAMTCATTTTGGCCACAAAGTATTGAATTCTCTGTGCCAGTTTCCCTATACACATAACTACAATAATCACTTGCTTCCTATGGTTCTTATGACAAATAAATATATTAATACATGTAAAAGGCATGGTGTCTGACACCTAATAAGCACTCCAGAAATATTATAGAAAATATACCCTTGGGGCTGGAGATGTGGCTCAGCGGC